TTTTTTTCGTGAAAAAAGGGCGGCAAGTTATGAATTGCCTAGGGGCGGCAAATATTTAAATCCGCCACTGTCTGCAGCAGTTTGTTTAAATTCCTTTAGAAGCGCAACATAGCCTGCAAAATGCTCTCAACGAAAAAGTATTTGCCTATTTGAAACTTTGAGGCGCTTAAAGCAAGTTAAGCAAAGCTGCCATTTGGCCAGCCTTCAGAAGTTTTAGTATATTCCAAATAAGTCTTCAAGTATTCCGAGGGTCAATTCTCGTTCTGCGTTAAGGCCAGTATGCAGCTCTCAAGAAAACGGTCAAGAAAAAAATTGCCATTATTTTGTGTGTGTGTCCTAGAAATTTAGGCATCTGATATTTCACAGCCTGTGACAGCCTCACTCTTTCCTCAAGAAATAATGGAACGGGCATATATTTCTGTTGCTAACATGGGTTGCCTTGTGCTCTTTTTTTCACAAAAAAACTTTAGAAAACCGTAGTAGAAAGCGTAGCAAATTTCTTAAGAATTGCGTAGTAAGGAAATTTGACTCCAGAAAATTTCTTAACCACTTCTTGTACGTCATTTTATTTGGAATATTCAATTCCGTCACTGAAGGTCTGCTGGGATCAGGGTTGCCACTGATGAAACAAAATATTTACCATCTACCAAATCTACCAAATCTGGAGAAAATCTACCCATAATTTGTATAGTTATCTCAATAAAAAAAACTATAAATTTCTTTTATTTTTTTAGTTACTTGAATAAAAAAATTAAATTTTAACTACCTATGTAAATCAAGCTTTCAAATTTTATACAACATTTAGAAAAATTCGACTCTGACTTTTTAGAGATTTTTTTGGAACACAGTTTGCTAGCCCTTGGAATTCTAGTGTAACTTACAATGGGCCCAATAAAAATTTTAAAGTGTTAGTACCAAAAACAACGTAGTTATATGCCACTTTTTGTAAACCCCCTATCTGTTTTTAATACTCTTTTTTAATGTTTTTTTGCTTCTCCTGTTAAATAAAAAATTTTTTGGTTAGGGCCTTTGTGAATTAAGGTACGATTTCAAAAAATTTTCAAACATTTTATTAAAAAACTCGAAATTTTGATGAATTCTTCCAAATTTTGTACAAAGTTTGAAACATTTATTTATATATATTTTTGTTATAGTGTGAATTATATTTAAATATAATAATAATATATTTTTTTATTAATTTACAAAATTCTACCTAATGTTTTTTTAAAAGTGGTGAAAAGGTTTACGCGGTACATTTAAAAAAAAGACAAGTAAATTAAATTATAAAAAATAAATAGTCAAAACTTGTCAATGTGTGGGTGTCGTATATTCATGAGAAGCACTATATTTGCACCCATAACAAATTTACTTGAAAAGTTTATAACCTATAATTTGTTAATTAAAACTGTTACAGACTCGGTAAGTAGGGTGAAAACACGTTAACCTCTGCACTTGAATTTATGCATCTATGTACATAAATTAGAAATGTCTGCTTGAAACTTGGATCAGGGAAATCAACTACGAGTAAGATTAGTATCAAAAATGACCTTAGCACAGCGAAAAATGTGTGTGAACTCAAAAAATTAATAAATATATTATTTTTTTAAAATTCACTAAATCTGTTGACCTTTAAATAATTTTCACACATTTTTTACAAGTGAAGTTCACAGACAGCTAGCGTTGTTGGTATTGCAATAGTTCTCAAGTTGAATGTATAGGAAGTTTAATACATACATACATATTTCCGTTAAGCTATAATATAATAGATTTATTTATTATTTAATATGAAAAAAGAAAAACCAAAAAGCTGCAACAAAGACACGTACGTGTAAATAAATAACTGCAGTTCTTTCCACGCGACACTCTTTTGTCTGCTTGCACTAAATGAAAAAAGTTAGTAGAATTTCAAGACCCACGTATACGTACTTATTTACGTACATGCGGACGTATGCTACTTTCATGCGCACGCAGTATTACTTAGTACAATTTCCGGTCGTCAGCGCACTTAAGCAAAGGTCAAACAAAGAGAGTCGCACATAAAACAACAAAAAAAATAAATGGCAAAAAAAATATAAAAACAAAAATCCAAACGCATTTTGTTGTCTACTATCCGCATTCGGCGTTCTGGTGCGTGGGAAGCAGCGGAAGTGGCAAACAAAGTCAACAACAAATAGGCAAACAAATGCGAGAAAACCCAAATTAAACTGATTATTAATAAATGCTCTGATTTTTCTGGTTTGTTGTTAATTTCTTGTTTCTAATTTTTTTTTGTTTTTAATTTGTTTTGCTTTTTTGAGCAAATTACGTGATTTTCTTTTATTCCTCAGCAGTTTCGGATACTTTTAGCGAAATCATTAGGTTAATAGTCGCAATGAACTTTGCTAATTTTTTGGAGGTCAACTATGTCATTTCTGCTTTGAAAGATTTTTTTTAATAATTAGTCAAATTAAATTTCATTATAACCAATTATTGTTAAATATAATAAGAAAGTGGCTCATGTTTAGATTAGGTCTGTCATTAACGCTCCAATATAAGAAATTAAGAATTTTCGTGGAAATTCTGTAAGCCGCAGCTATAACACCATGCGACAAAAACAAAAAAAAAAATTGAAAACACACGAGCACAAAATTGGAAAACACACGAAAACTGCATTTTTAGTTTTTCTCTCTGACGTCAGAATTTTTTGAAAAGGACTTTGAAATTTGAAAGATATGATTAATTCCAAAAGTTTCAATATGGGTACCAAATGAGAGAAAAAATTCTGTAGAATTAAAAAATAAAGTAAAATTTTGCGGTTCACAAGGACAAATATCTGTTGAAAATGACCTCGTAGTAAAATTTGTTTTTTTAAACAAATAAAGTTAAAAGGCAGAAATTCGAGGGAGTAGTTGGGTGTATATTAGTCCTTAAAATATAGTTTTCTCAAAAATAAATATTTCAAAATTACAAGGATATTCTAAAAAAAATTTTAAAAGGGCATTTTCAATACTTACTCGTCTATATGCATCATAAAAATTAATATGTTTTAATTCTATGTACATTTTCTTTTTAATTTGATACTTATGCTGTCTTCCTCCACTGCACGGAATTTTTTTAATTATTTTTTTGAATTAATCATATTTTTCAAATTCCAAAGTCCTTTTAAAAAATCCTACATTTACAGTGGTGGAAAAATAAACAGGGACGCGATATTTTAACAAACTTTGTCAATTTTGCTTTTGTTTGTTTAATATTTGTTATTTTTTATAAAAGTATTGCTCATTGTCTAAAAAACCATATAAATTCATATTTCAAAAAATTATAAAAATTTTGTAAAGCTGCATCTAAATTTTCAACTTTTTAATCAGCTTTTTTTTAATTTTAGTATTATGCTTTTTACATATAAAAAAAAACGGTCGAACATATGGAAGAAAATGCGTGGAAAAAAATTTGCCAAAAATCTATGCGATCTTTTAGCAACTTAAGATTTCCACTTTATTATATAAAAATTTAATGGGCTATAAAACTGCATACTCAGAAAAAATTTAAAAATCTGATTAAAAATTTTAAAATTCAGATGCAATTTTGCAGAATTTTTATAATTTTTGCACAAAGTTTTAAATATGAATTTATATACATTTATAATGAGCAGTATCATTATAAAAATAGTAAGTATTAAAAATACATATTTTTTCCAGCACTTAAGTAATGCCGATTTAAAAACGAAAACCGGAATTTAAAGTTTCAAGAGCACATTCACCCTATATAAGTAAATTTTACAACAAAATACCCCAACATCCTAACAAAGGTACATATGTACATAAATAACTGAAGTTCACGGTGTTTTATTTCGTCTGCTTGCACTGATTCATTTCCTGCTATTGCGCAACTGCAATTCTTCACAGCAATAAATTATGTAAAAACCCAAAAAAATTCTGCACATACACTTACAAAATAAAGGGAGCCAACTATTGCCACACACAATGATTGGCAAGCGCAACCGTAAAAAATTCCCGCTAAATGCGCCGTTTTCACGGGAATCAAAGTAAGTAAGTAGAAAAAAAGTGTACATGGTAAAAAGTAAATATCACTCATTCAATCAGCGAAGAACTCACCTTGTGACTGTCCAATGGCGAGCTGCGTTGCCAACGTCAGCATCCAGGTGAGCAGCGGCAGGCGCTTGAGAATGCAGCGAACACAAAACTGTGGTATTCCCATGCTGCTGTGTGCGAGTGTGTCGACCACACTGAGTGTGCGTGCAGTTGTTGTTGTTATTATGATGCGCAGTATTAAATTGGTTTTTTTTTTGTGTTTTTACTATGAAGGTTTTTTGTTATTTTAATTTTTAAACCTTTTGTTAAAACAAGTATTATGTTTCTTTGTTGGCAAAACACATTAATTAAATTTTTAATTTTTTCAATTCTTTTTTCACAAATTTTCTCATTTGCTCATTTCAGTTTGATTTTTGTGCAATGCATTCTTTTGCGGCGCGAACACATGTGGCGATTTTATTGCTAAACAATTGAGTTTTGTGGTGTGTAAATAATTTTTTTTTGTTTCGCTAAGAAATTAATTTTGTAATTATTTTTGTATTATTAACAGCGCGTGATTTTTGTTTTGTTTGCTATTGTTATTAAGATCGAAATCCAGTTCTCGATATCGTTAAAATATGTATTTTTACCGTTATTTAGATTAAAAAAAAAATTACAAGTTAATAAACAAAGAATATGGAGGCATTGCTTGGTTACTAAAGCGAGCGAGCGGTCGCAGGGTTGGCAGCGGCGAATAAAATGAGAAATACAGAAAATAAGTATGTGTGAAATGTAATTGGTTTTAAAGCTAAAACAACAATAACAACAACAGCAGCGTTAACCTATGTATGCCCGCTGGCGCAAACAACTCGTATTTGTAATTGAGACGCCAGTGGTGGGGAGCTATACGTAACTAGATGACAGCATTCTCAAGGTTATCAGCAAAAGCAAGTTGCATACATACATCTGTACATATGTATTTCCATATGTACGTGTATAAATATGAGCGTTTTGCATGCGTAAAGGTGCATGTGTGTGTGTGAAATGCAGGCTGCAGCTAGCGCTGTTACTTTTTACTTCTTTTTGTATTAAACTGACAATTGTTACTGATTTATTATAATTGTAGGTGTTGTTGTTAATGTTGTTATAGGATTGTTGGTACTTCTTTGCTTCATTGCATTGCTTGAGTATTTTATTTTTTATTTTTAGTGAACAATGTACATGCAACTTATTTGCTTCTTCCATATTAAGTTGAATATACTACATATGGTATATTTCGAGACCATAAATGGGTTTCAGCAACAAACGTCTGTTGCTTTTGCGAGCTAGACGTAGAAACGCCAGAACACATTATCTGTGAATGTGACGCTCGCGCTAGACGCAGGCTAGGTCGCCACACTTAGTCCATCTGAAAATGGGTACAAAAGACCCCGGACAGAGTGCTAATCTCCTTTGTTTCCATTGGCATTAACTGCAATTACATAAGTATTGATGGAAACTACCTATAAATTTATGGCTATGAATGCTGTTTGTCTATCAAAGTAAATGTTTGCCTCCCTTATCGGCATTAAACAATTGGACACCCATTCGAAAACTTCTGTAACGGCAGCCATATTTATCTATGTGTTTGATGAGGAATTCCCAATTTGGTATCTTAACCTTCAATGTCCAGTCAGAGTTCTTAGTGAGAGTTCTTAGACCTCACGGTCAAGGTTAAACTGTCCCTTAGAAACGCCACTCTACTTTCAAAAACCTTGTATTGCGTATTACCCTTTGACATACGCCAGTGGCTGAGGGCCTTGAATGCTCCGCACTTTTCATGAATTCTTCCAGTTGGTGCCCAGTTTGTCTAGTAAATTTTTGCAATTTTCTACCATCATTGCTATCAGTTAAAATCGGTTCAGGATTCCCAATGCCTAGTGACTGTCCAACATTATGTTTATAGTAGACCCATTAGTTCTTCTGGTGTGGACATCTGCCCACTGATACACTTTTCTGAACTAATTTTCAAGCTGCTTAGATTCGGTAATATTGGAGCGCTCCAACGAGCCTTTTTTCAAGGAGTATAGCTCGAGGCTTGTGCTGATTAGTACTTCTCTTGGACATACACCCAAGGCTTATATAATAGCCACAGCCAAGCGATAAAGCTTCACTAGAGTGACGGCGGGGCTTAATTGCTTGTCGTTTGACCACCAGACCAGTGCTGCGTATTTGATAATCTGAAAGGAGGTAAGACTAATTAGTCTATATGCGTAGGGAAATGTTTTAAGCTTTGTTCCGCTTTCGATATGAATACGACTTTGACCTCTTTCCATGATGATTGTATATGAGCAAGAAGTAGTGTTGCTGCCAGTGTCCTGACTAAGGTTCTAAATATGGACCCTGGATTTGTATGCACTAGAAGTAGAAGAGGCCGTTTCTTTATTGACATTCCCTCCGGCGAGGTCAATTTTCTGCTTATTTGCGCTCACTGCGCTAACAGCACTTATGACAGAAAGTAGACCTTGAGGAATAGAATCCTACAGAAGCCTATATGTTTCTTCCAATGATCCAATTTAAGTGCCTTCATAAGGCGTTATGCAACTGGCAGGGAAGAGAATACCCTAAAATTCCAGCGGTTCGTAGCCATTTTGGACCATCTAAGCTGTTGTTAGCAGTTAGAGCTGATTTATGTTGAAGTATTTGCTGACCTTATGTCGAAGCTTACTGGGTTTACCGAATCTCTCAACCCAACAACAACAACTGATGTAAGTGAATTAATGTCGGGAAATGAATGGCGATTTCGTTTCTATAAAAAATTTTGGCTTCTCATCGCCCTCTTCTTAGTGTTGCTTTTTTTGGTAGAAACGAAATCGGCATAAAATTATGCCACACTCATTTAGATACATACTTTTAAATAACAAGTACCTTATGCAATTGATTTAAATGACATTTCTTCAAAGCATTTTGAATGATTTTTAATTACTGGCGCAATAATTAGTTATTTAATGAATTTTCCCACAGCAAATTTCGTGTTTTATGAATGTATGTATGTACAAATACATCCCTACTTATGTAGTTGTATTTCTTTACCATGCAATATGGTTTAGTGCATCATTTATTTTTGTTTATTTTTTTTTTTTTTTTTTTTTTTTTTATTTAGTCAAATTAATAAATTGCTTTACTCAGCGGGATATTGTTTAACGCTAACCTACATGTATAATTCGTCTGACAAAAATGGGGAAAATAAGAGATCAAGCGTAGCCTATATGTCGGTACGTCGCTATGTACATATTTATGTATGTATTTAAATATAAAATAATAAATAAAAATTAACTACACTCTCTAAACTCGAATTGGTTGAATGATCAATTGAAAAGTTGCATAGCAAACAGCAGCAAAACACAAAAGACTTGCGAAACGAACTTGCAAGCATAGCGGCAGAGGGATTGGTCGCCGTTTTAAAAAGCGGCGACGCGCGATTGACAATGAGTGAGTGAGTGAGTGTGGCGCATGTAGACTAGTTTGGTGGCTTGTTTATTTAAATTTGTGACCACTTTGCTTTGGTTTTGCGCAAACCGCTTTAGCAACGATTAAACGGAACTGCTCAATGGAAATTTTTGTATTAATTTTATTGCGATTTTTTAGGCTAAATGAAGGTTGAATATTTATGAATCACTGCTAACATTAACAAATTTTCTTTTGATTTCTATACTTTGTTTTCCATTTGCAATTATATTAATTTTATTTTTATGGCTTATCGGTAAATCGAATCGTACGTTTGTCAAGTGGCTTTGACTAACTTTTACTTTGATCCGTTTATAACAACAATTACAGAAGCGAGTTGTTGATAACTGTAAAAATTTAAGTTCACAAAAGGCAACTCTGATAAAAAAATTGCAAAGGCGCAAAGCGCTTACATGAATTTTAATTTTTAAAGGGAAAAGAAAAAGGGGATGTTCGAAAATGAGTAGCAAAAACTAGTACAAGCATTCAAAAAATACGGCACAGTTATAAATAAGTTAAAAAGTGGCCTTAATTTTGGGGAAATTGTGTACGCTTATTAATATTGCATTTTTTTTATTTGAATAATTGTAAATTAGTTGTTGTCCTCTGAGTTTTTCTTTACTTTCTAGTTCTAAAAAAAATAAATATTTTTAATTTAATTTTGTTTAAGGGAATTCGATAATATAAAATTACTGTACATATTAAAAATAGATTTATTAATTTTTTTTTACTTTTATAGCCGATTTTTTAAAAGGAGGAAGGTTATCGATTCAGCGAAACTGTCGTAACATATTAATTTAGTTTAGTTCCGATCATTGGCTCATGAAGAAATTAATGACACTCCTAAATTTTTATATTATTTTTAAAGTTTGTTGTAGTTTTTGCTTAAAAATGTATTGTTATTTTTTTTTTAATATTCATACGTTAAAATACGTAAAAATTTTTGACAGAAAATTTTAAAACATTAGAAGTGCTAAAAAGATATTTTTTTGCAAAAACAATAAACGAACAGATTAAAATGGCAAACTGATGCGCTAAAAAAACAACAACAAAAACCAAGCAAATAGTCACCTATTTCTTTAAACCATCCCTTTTTTTTTAATAATATTTTAATGTCTCTTAAATTTGTTTGTCAATATTTTTAATATGTCTGCAACTTTTTACGCTTTTATTTCATTTAGTTTTCAGTCATTTATCACCATAACGCTACACATCACAACCGCTGCCCGCTCGCTTGTCGCCAACGCTGATCACAACGAGTGGCAACTAGGAACACAAAGACAAGCACTCGCTTGCACCATTCCACCCTCCACTGTGCTGCGCCGCACAGTTTTTGAAATGCAAAATGATTGCTGTCGCTTGCATACAAATTAATACAAGACTGAAATTTGAGCCACCGACAGCAGCGCCATAAGCAACGACAAAAACAATAACACACAAAAAAACGACAGTATTTCCAAATAAGTATGTAAGCTGTGAAGTGGTTAAAAATGTTTTCATAAAATATTGTTTGCAAGGGGTCGTTTTTAATACATATTTCTTTCTTTCATTCTGTTCACAAATCATTCACTCTTCCATTTGTATAAAAATTTTATATTTCTCGATTACTGTGCAGTCAAACACACATAAAACAAAACAACAGTAGTACGTATTTTGACAAATTCAGCCAAATTTTTGTAAACCAAAATGTATAGGAAGCTACACTAAAGTCTAAAGACTTCAGCAACAAACTGGACACATGAACGCACTCGTTGAGGCATTCCAGAATGCACGAGTTTTTATTGCAATGCCATTTTTGTTGTTATTAAATATTACTATTATGATTTTATTGTTTTAATTATTCGCAAACGATTTTTTTCAGCCACGTACAGCGCACCAGCGTTAAACCGTTCATAAACGCGTTTCGAGTAAAACTAACCTCAGCTTTCGTTATTAGCCAGCGTCAAGGTAGTCGAGTTGTTGTGGAGTAGAGCTTGCGGTATAGGCTTGGCTGGTAGAGTGGTAGCACAAGAATTGGTAGCAATGCAAGAAAATTAAATGGCAGTGACAAAGAGCCAAGTGCTAAAGTGGAATCAGAAAGCAAAAGCGAAGCAGAAAAAGTACAACAAGGCGAGAGAGAATTTATGGCGAGTCTGATGGTTTTCGCAAAAATAACTCGGCCAGAGCAGTTTTAATGGGAGTTGCGAAGGGAAAACGACGAGCGGTAAAACTATTAAATTCAAGAGATAAAGAGTGGAGTACAGAAAACGTAAGACTGTTTGCAGAAAACCGTTAGCAGCAGGTGGTATAACGTAAGAGACTTGGTTAGGTTTATTTCATCTAAACTTAAATCTAATTTCTCTTATACATAAACCAAATATTTTACTTAATTTTTGAAGTTTTTGAAAAGGACTCATAAAGAGCAGCAGCTGTTATGAAGAAGAAAAATTCATATAAAATGACGCACAAGAAATGGAAAGAAGTTTTTGCTTATAAATTTTTTTTTTAACCTATATGCAGCTTGCAAGAAAAAAATTGCTCATACATACATTTATTTCTCCAAGAAAAGTTACAGCAAAAGCAAAGTACTTCTTCAATAATGAAAAATATTTCTTGTAATTTCCTTGAGAGCTGCAAACAGCCCTTACGTGAAATTAGATTTTAGTTTAAAATTAAGTAAAAATTACTCGTTTTTTTGAAAAACTGTTTCAATTAAGCAGAAAATACAACCGACTTCAATGCTCGCATAAAAATGTATGAGTACCGTTAATTTCTTCATGATGAAATGATCGGAACTAAACCAAAGTAGTATGAGACCAGCCTTTCCGATAAAAAAAGAATTATCGAAAACGCTTCACGTGGTTGAAATTTATGCGCTAACATGCACAAAAAAAAATATTCCGATGAGTGATAGATAACCTTGGTTTTTGGTTTTTTTTTTTTAAGCCGGTTAAAAATAGTCAATAACAAATGTATTGAGTAAAGAAAAAAGCAATAATGTGCAAAGAAATAAGTGATCTGACTAACAAAGTTCTAAATGCTTGCAAAACAATATCAAACAAAAATTCATATTCGGCATTATCACGAATTCCATGTGAACAAATATTCCCGAAAATTAAAAAGCAAAACAAAAACCATTTTCCCAGTTTTGGTTTTTGTTTTTCCTGATTAATTCACATAAAGTTGGCGATAAGGCTGATTAATTACTTTTTAAGGGAAGACTGAGAAGAATGAATTATATACTACATATAGTTATTCATATTTTAAGAGATTTATCACTTATTTAGGGTTAAATGGTGTCGTCAGGATGCTTACATATCAGTTTATAATAAACAAGAACAAAAATAATTTTTATAAGTTGAAGCCCATTACAAAAAAAATCGAATCTCTGACTAAATCCTTATTGATAAGATAAGGCCTCGAATCGTTACATACGATATCGTATACGTATTACTCGTAAGCTTGTTAAGTCGCATCAAAAAATTCCTTGTCGTTTAAAGAATACTAAAGCCAGCTTCCCTACATAAGCTACTATTCCATACGAACACAGGTAGACACAACTGTCTTGTTCATAATATTTGTATAAAATGCCGGTATTAAGTAGTAGAAATTTTGTTTGGTAACCTCACTACTTTTATAATTTGAAACTGATAAAAAAAATACAATGCTCCAGAGATATTGACTTCTGATTCCTATAATATTTTGTGCATGTAATCAGATGTTTAGAAATTAACATTTTTATGAAAAGCGTTTTCATGGCAGAAATACATACGTTTAGAGATTTGCTATTGCCTCCTGCGTGCGACCACTATTAGAAAAAACTTTGAGTATGTTGGTCGTACTGTGTAATATAGCGCACTTCTAACCACTCTCCCGAATACATGTTAGTATGTACTTAAGTACTTATGTACATATGTATGTATGTACATGACACAGTTGTGTAGAAATTCCAGACATTTATGTACATATGTACTTATGTACATATATCAAGCCACAAAGAAAAGGAAACTCAAGAATTCATAAATTATTGAGCCCACATCTAGAAAATAGGATCACTAAACATGTATTCATAAAAACTTACAAAAAATAACAACATTACCTTCTAGTATCGCTGATCACTTCTCTAAACACAAATATTTGCAACAGCATGAACGCACTCATATTATACCACGCGATTATATCCAAAATAGCGAATTCGAGTTGTTTAATAAAATTTTATTAATTCTCCCAAAATTTATTAATAAAATCCACATTACAATTTTCACATTTTTTACACTGGCGCGAAATGTCATGCTTTTGGCGGTAGGAAGGAAATGAAAAACAGAAATGAAACCAAACATAAAGCATTGGCTTCAATCTTTGCGGTGCGAATAATGCAGCAAAGTACAAAACGGACGAATTTGCCGTCATATGGTTTCATACATTTTAAAATTCAAAATAGCAACGTGGGCGATGGAGCTTTGGTTTTATTCTGCTGCTTCTTCAGTTCGTTTTTCATTTCCTTTATTTCCTCATCCGTATTCGTTTGACAGTTCCCGCGCAGTGAAAAATTACAGTATGGCTCTTCCGGTGTGAAAAATGTTGTAATTAATTTGAGTATTTCTAAAAATTAAAATAATAAAGTTTTAAAAGGATATACTATATGTACATACATACATATGGGTTATTGGATATTTAAAATCAAATAGTGTGTGATTTTGAGATTTTCGTAACTAAATCGTTAATACTTCAAAAAGGGTGAATCCAAAGTTTTTTCTTAGCAAGCTGTATGTATATGTGTTTTCAGTGTTATTAAGAAAACCGTTTCATACAAGTTTTCGAAAGTTTCATGAAAATGGTGAGTACCCCACAATTAGAACAACTAAGTATTAGTGTTAATCCGAGTAGTGCAGGAAGCTTGAGTTGGTAGTTGGTCAGGAAAAATGATAGATAAACTTCTATCTATTTACGTGTGTATGTGACAATTTAAATTTTAATTGGCCTCTTGAAAGGTAATCTAGTATTTTCAAAGCTTTTGCCCTTAGAGGCGACAGGCTATGGCCTTTGAAGCTAACTAACCAATTGCATCGAATTTCGGCACAAGGGAGGGGTGTCCTTAGAGAATATTTTTTTTTATTAATGTCTTTGATTACATACCAGTAAACACCAAACTCATTTAACAAAATTTTTTTATATTTTACCTGAATCCAGCATGGAAAGAATTTAATAAAAAAAATTTAAAACTCACTTTCCATAAAAATTACAATTTCTGTTCTGCGAAATCCATTAGCGCTCTTCATTCCAATATGTGTAAGTCACAACAATAAAGGCCAGTGTTGAAATTAAAATGAAAATAAAAGTCGTTATGCAATTATTGCACAACCAAATCTATTTCTATTTCTATGCATGTTAATGTGTTAGTATTTTATGTCCGCTCGTGCTCACGTATTCCTCCTTTAGGTGCCAGTCGATTGACTACGAAAATGCATTCAAAGCACTTTTGCGAGCTCATCCACAGTCATCTATCACAATTAAGAGCAGCAGAGTGCAGCTTATGGCGCCTAAAGCTGTGTGATACATTCATACATATCCGAACAAGCATATCTATGTACAAGCATATTTAAGTATGTATATTACTTCTAGCAAATCTGGCTTTTTGATCGCAAGTCATCGATCTTCGACGATCCCACATAAATCGCAAGTCGAAAGGCTTTGGCAGCAATAAATGCATATATGTATGTGTATGTATTTGTATACAAATATGTCTGTGTCAGTATATAACTGCAGCAATAACATCGATCGTGCAGTGAAGATGTTGTTTTCTGTGCGACGAACTGCATTGCATCTACCGCCGCCGCACCAACAATCGTCAATTTTACATAACGTCAAAGATGTGCTGTGTAGATTGCAATCACGTTGCATTGAAGAATTGCCACAATTCTGAGTGGCAGTAGATAAGCTGTTGAAGGAGCGTGAGATACGCAATACACCCTTCACTGCAACGCTGCACGATTTGAACATTTATAAGCGTCTTGCGAATTAAGTACTAACGTACACACATATATATGTTTATTGTTGAAAGTAGGCTTTATTTAGTATGATCGCTTGTAAATCGGTTAAATCAACGCCGGAAATCGAGTTGAGCGTTTTTTATGTATGTCAATCACGTGTCGTCACTGCCAACGCCAAATTGTAGCAGCATCAACGTAATAACAATAGCAATAGATTTAGCAATCTTAACAACAATGACAATGCTACAGCTTGCTCTGCGCTGCTGCTGTAGGTAATCAGCAAGTGCCGATGCACTCGTAGTACCAGCTATGTGACAGAATGCGAATAGCAACAACTTCCTCTTCGTGTTAATATAAATTTTGCTATTTTTATTTGTTGTTGCCTTTTTATATGATTGTTTTAGCTTATGTCTGCCGGCGATTTTGTGTGCAGCACAATGAGGCATCGACACAGTTTTCGAAGTTTAAAAACTTTCAAAATTTGTTAGTACACATGTAATTATTGTATGTAGGTACCTAGCTTAGACCTAGGTACGTGTATATTGCTTAGTGCCATCAACTTCGCGTGCAGACAAAAATTTACTATTAAAATTTATAAGCATAATTTTTCACAGCGAACATAAGCGTTTATGTATGCAATATATGTATATATAAATAAACAAATATTTACTTATTCAATCATCCATACATATGTACTAACAATATGCAGTAGGACCACTCACTATTGCATGCCACTTAATTTTTTGTTGCTAAAACGTGAGCACTTCTAAATTGCACACGAAGAAACACCTTCACTTTGTTGATTTACAAGTATGTTTATAAATAGGATTGCCCTTATACCCTTTAGTTAGATTTTTTAACCTATGGCTAAATATTTCCTAACTGACTTTTCCTACCTAATTTACTATAGACCGGCTGATGACGTGATAGTTGACCGTATTTTATGTGCGCTTTCATTTCTATTAACGCCAATTGCTTCAAATGAATTTTGCATTTCATTCTTCCTTAAAAGTATACATATATGTATTTATTTTTATTTATGTAATTAAATCAACGCTTTTTTTACAAAAGTTATTTTATTATTGTAAATTAACCCATTGGGAAGTCAAATGCAAACACATCTGACTTTACAAACTTTTTGTAAGCAAACAAACCAACTGCTTAAATAGATAATCGTACTTAAAATGTGTATTACACCACGCAGCAAAATTGGCAGTCACACGCAGAAAACTTACATAACAACGCGAAAACATGTAGCTTCCAGAAAATGAAATATGGTTTCTACCTCGGTTCTCTCTACTTGCAATTGATCCTTACTTTATTTGTCATTAAGTTTGTATGACGTGAATAAAACGCGCTACCCAGTCCCGTGGAGGCAGCAATATTTCTGTGGCCATCAGATTTTACTTGCCGGAGGTAAATTTCGACAGACTTTCCAATAGACTTATATACGAAGTGTGCTCGAATGCCGTGGCAAGGTCCGAAAGTTTTTCAACAAATTCATTGCTGACCCCTTTCTCTTCTAGTAGATTCATCAGCAAGTCATAGAGATACTTTATTTGGGGGAAAAAAACCATTTGTACTTATGTGCATGCAAATGTCGTTTTCCATTCACTTACCCCATCTAGCACATCGCCAGCTACGGCATACACTTTATCGTTCCATTCGCCTTGGTAAATGCACATCTCATCGATACCAAAAATGTCATCTGTAATCACAATGGTAAGAAAATTATAATTTCATTACATAATTTGAATTGAACTTACTGTATTCACCCTCTTGCGGTGTTCCCTCCAAAAACGAGCATGTGAATGACAGTGTGGTAGAGCCCTTGACAATATCCACTTCAAAGCGTGGTTTGCTGCGCATCTCACCTATTTCAGCCTTTTCAGCATTGGGATCCAATTCAGGCTCATCTTCAGTGTCTACAGTGTGGTTGACATTAAAATTTATGACGATGCTGAACAAAATATTATAAATTAATTCACTTTGATTCATCAAATCGAATTCTTAATTCTCACCTCTCGTTATCACTCTTCTTGGTTAATTCTACATCAGCGCCATCCAGTTTCACGGTGAAGCCATCCAAAGTTGTGGGAATCGTCTTAACCTTTTGTGATTTACGTTCAGCCAAAATTTCTTCGGTAAGGAATTCGACAAGCTCCCGTTCACCTAATGTATTAAAATAAAGCGATTTTGAATAACTTTGATTTACAAATCTGCGCGCAATCATTTCATCACGTTTTTGTAGGTTATGTAATCAATCCGGTAATACAGCCGATTACTCCTGGCACAAATCGTTAAAACTAAAATTACCTTTAGTGTGCATGTGCTTGGCGCCGCCGCAACCACAGCTGCAGCTCAAGCTGGGCTTGTGCACACTCAGGACAGTACCAGTTGCACCTGATGAACCCGACGCTTCCGGATTTTTGCACATGTGCCAGAGCGTGCGAGTGAAATCACGCTTGCCAAATACATTTTTCAATGCGTTGGATGAGTTAGCGGCAATCAGACTGCTACCGAAACGAAGCACAGATTTCGTCAAGTTACTCATTCTTTTTTAATTAAATATATCCAAAATTGCGTTGAGAAATGCAGCCGCTGCAATCAATTTTTTAACCTCACGCGTTTTTCTTTTCAATGGGCGAATGTCAACTTTTATTTTGCTTTGTGCTTATCCGCTGCTAATTGTCATTCATAGGGAGATGCCAATGGTTTTTTATTGGAATTGGTTTATTTTTTTTCTAAAAAGGACTGCCAACCCCAAGGAGTTTGTATACACGGTGCAGCGAACAAAGATGGCGCCGTCAGTGGTACCGCTACTTTGATTTTGCCGATTTTGACAGCTGTGGTAACTTGTAAATAAGCCTTTGTTTACAATTTAGCGAAGGAGAAATTTGAATTATAAGTTAAAAATCAGTTTAAATTATGTTAATTTGCAATTTGTGAGTGACGATTACACTACAGTGATTAGGAGCTTAATGTGCGGAGTGCCTAAGGTTTTATTGCAAAATTATTTATACAAAATTATACCGAACGTAAGGGCCAATTTCATAACGAAACACTTAAAGTTCCTTTTGCAAAAGTTTCCTTTTAGTTAAA